AGTTATATATTGGTTATATTTATTTGTCATTTCATACACTCTTATGTAAATGCATACAAATATGGATTCAATTATGCATTGCCAAGTAGGACATCCAATTAGTTATATAGTATTTTTTTATATCGTGTATTAGTATAAGTGTTAGATTTCAGGTGGCTATCTCGTAAGAGTCATCACACTTGCCCGTCGGCTTATCTTATCCTCTTATGACTCTCTATATTGTATTTTATATTGTATCTTGTATATTATATTGAGGTTACACTACAATTCATAATTTAAAGGAAAGTCTATCGATCATTCCTCTTGTACAGGGTATCTTTCTCCAACCAACCTGAACTATTTTATAACTAGCCAGCCTTTCTTGTAATGCCCATTTGCTTTACTTCATTCGTATTATTTTCTATGCAAATTTTAGTAGTAAGCATGAAATACAATAATCCATGAAATGTTATAAATGTATATCAATTAATATACTACTCATTAGATTCAAATAATCATAATTACCAATTTACCCAATAAAATTCAACAATGTTATAGCTAGAATGCTCATAAAGGTCATATCCATCATATACAAAAAGTTGCACGATTAAAATTCAAAAAATTAGGACAAAAGATATTTTAATAACTTTTAAAGAGAAATAAAATCTAGAAAATCAAAATCATTGAAAATAAAACTTAGATTCAAATAACCTTTAACAATCAAAAGTCTTTTCCTAACTAAGGTAATGACATAAAAGACTAGAAGGAGCTCTCTCTTCTCCTTCTTTGCTTCCTTCCTTTCCTATCTGGCAAGCCAAATGAAGTAAGGGAGGGAGAGGGGTAATGGATATTAATATAGAACGATTCATTGGCTCAAAACTCATAAATTTTTTTCTTCTTATGCACAACAGATTATGTGGTTTTATTTAATAGAATGTACAAAATTTTAAATTAACTATTTTAAAAGGGGAATTCAAAAATTGTAACATAATTCCTAATAAAAATTTTGAAAATTTAAATTTATTTACATAAAATTATTATTTGTGATTATTTTTACTATCTATAATATGTATACTACATTTAAATGATATTTGCAATAAATATATAGAAAAATAAAAAAAAAAACTTCTATAACAATTATTAGGGCTTCAAATGAAGTGTTTGACAAGCTACTCATGGCTAGGCTCGATTATAGCTCGCTCATGATCGTTTGATTAAGTAATCAAATAAGCTTGATTTATTGTGTTTGGCTTGTTTATGTTCATGAACAACATTTTTGAAGCTCACGAACATGCTTGATACGAAGCTCAATAAGAAGCTTATTAAGAAACTTGATTCTTGTTTGATATGGAGCTCATTAAAAAGCTAGATTATTGTTTGATACAAATATTGATTAAGTCTGATTATAGATTGAGTTTGTTCATGATCAAAATATACTTATTCATTTTTTATAGATTATTTGATTTTGTGTTCATGAAGAAGATCATTGATTAAAAGTATCATTTATGAGCTTGAAAAAGCTACTCGTTTATGAGCGGGAAAAAGCTCGATAAGCTAGCTCGTTTGTAGGCTCAACAAAGCTTAACAATTATGTTCTTTAAGAGGCTTGATATAATATTTGGTAGAAATCTCAACAAGGCTTGTTTATTAAGCTAATAAACTTCTCGATAAGGGTCATTCGTTAATAGCTCGATAAGTCGCATTCGTCAATTACTTGATAAGGCTCATTCGTTAATTTAAATGAACCTCTCATTTAAAGTTCGATAAGTAGGAAACAAACCAAACATGAACTAAACTTGAACACAAATGAAAAAGCTCGAATCAAGCTCAAACCAAACTCAAACAAGCTATTAATAAACGAGCTAAAACATGAACATGCTTCTACTGGGCTCGACTCAATTTGTTTGCAACCATAACAATTATGATATTAAGGATAATTGATATGTCATCAAAATCATCTTGATTGAGCATAAATCTCAAGACATATTTAAATTGGAAAATTTCAAAACAAAATTTTGAACTATCTGAACTCTCATTTCAACGAACTTCCTAAAAGTTGAACATATCGACAAGACAGCCCCTATGACACTTAACATGGTTCAATCCAAAGCTCGAATGAGCCCAAATTAAGGCCTGAAGTGTAACTAAAAAGTTCTAATGATTAATTGGGTGATCAGATAGCCTCCAATTTTGGTATGCTTATAGTCAGAGTTGAGCTATTCGATGAGACAAATCCAACAAGTCTAAAATAAATATTGAATTAATGCTTTATGATCAAAGGAATTAACATGGTCCATCTGATAGAGAGTTCCAAATTTTCTTCATATTTTTCATTATGCCACTCTCAAAAATCAATTAATAGGTCCCTACTCTCTACATGAGAGGGGAACTTAGAAGCTAAAACCTAAACACTCTATCTTGATATATTCAAGAGAGCTACGAGGCCCTAGGAATCTTGATGCACCACTCGAGCGTAAAAAAATTATAATAATCATAAAAAATAGCATTAAAATGAAATTATAATTGTTGTGTGAAGAGCAAATGACCTCTTAATTGTGATGGTCAATAATTTTCTTATTGCATTAGCCAATATTTTAATTATTTATATCTTTTAATTGTCATTTATTTTTAGCTATTAAAAGTATAAGAAAATTTTTATTATAATATAAATTATGTAAAAAGACATTCAAGATATTTAGTTAGTATTGCAAAGAGAATTTATCATATTTACTTATTATTTAGAATTATATAAAAGTTCGCGCTCGCGCGCGCACGCACGCACACACACACACACACACACATATATATATATAAGATAAATTGAGTGCAGCTCAAATATAGAAATGAGAAAAACTATGGGGCCTAATCTAGCTAATATAATTTTAAATTACAAGTCATGGATATAATATACACATATAAAATATTGAAGATAACTTTTAAAGCCAAAGTAGAAGTATTGGTGGCATTGGAGTTGTCATGGAGAGATTATTAATGATCTTCTTAGTTGTTGTCAATACAAGAAGATAGACCAACAACACATTAAGGTGCTAGGTTTGGTAAATGGGTTGATGAAGAGCATCAATGTTGTTACACGATCATCAATGTTGTGAAACCAATTGTGTCAGTGTTGGTATTGACATTTGTTTCGACATTGAGCGTTTATCTTATTATTAAAATGATGATGGGGCTCATCCTCATTAAAAATAACAACCATTATATTGATATAGGATGCATTCGTTGGTCTTATTTGTGATCACATACGCCAATGTTATGGGTGAGGATATATGTCAATCTTAGCAGCGTCATCACCATTATATTGGTGATGAGAGGGTCAATGTTAATGTGGATTGTGTATGTTGGCCTTATTAACTTTGGCGGGCAATTATCTTGTTAAGATTAGTCTTCACAATATGTGACAACCTTATGAGCGTCGATAAGAATCACTATTATCATCAATAGAATATATTAACTTAATTAGTGTCGGCGGATGTTGATGTTATTAATGACCTTGTTAACATCGACAACTATGACGTCTATGGTGATGATGAAGGCCGATCTTACTTGCAATAGTAGATGTTAATTTTATTGGTGATGTCAAGCACTGAATTTAATATCAATAGTGTGTGTCTGCCTTGTTGGTGATTGCAATAGGATCATGACAATTTGTTCACAATAGTTGATGGAGATGATCGTTGGTCATTCACTTATAAGAGCTATAGGCTTAATTAAATATTTAAAATTTGTAAAGTAACTAGGATACATATAATTAGGGGTGTCAATTTCGGGTCACGGGTCGGACCCGAAACTGACCCGGGTTCAAACGGGTCGACCCTAACCCGAAACAGATAGGTAAATGGGTCAGAAATGCGAACCCGAACCCGACCTGGCGGGTTGCCGGATTGAACCGACCCGACACGGGCAAGTGACGCGGGTGAGCGACGGTTGCGACGCACGCGGGCGAGATTGGGGTCGGGTTTGCGGGTGACGCGGGCGAGGTCGGGTTTGCGAGCGTCGCGGGCGAGCGACCCGAGAAAGCGTCACGGGCTGTGCGACGCGGGCGAGCGTGGTAGTCGCGGGCAGCAACGCTGGCAGGGCTTCAAACGGGTTTCCGGGTTCTGCCGGGTCAACCCGAACCCGACCCGTTTTTTAAACGGGTCGAATCCGGGAACC